GCACATCCCCGCGGGCTGGCCCGGCGGTCTCTGCGAGGCGGGGAAGAGGGAAAGGAAGGCCCGCCGCTCTCCCCTGGCTTCTTTCCGAGGCACCTTCGGTCGCCCGCTCCTGCTTCCCGCAGTTAACTGCCTTGGCTTCGGCTCTTCTCCAGGTCAGCCAGCAAGTCCACAATCTCTGTGAAAGACAAGGACGGCGTTAGTCAAAACAGAAGATTTTTTGTAGGCTTTTTTTCCCTCCCCCGGTGAGAAGACAGCTTTCCCTCGCTGGTAACAGCCAGGACATGGAGTCCCTGTCTCCTCAGGCCAGCGCGACTGGGCAGCCATTAGCAGGGGACAGCGCCGGGCAGGCGCAGGCGAGTTCAGCCCAACGAGAGGCAGACTGTGTGTATGAGAGATGCCTGGAAGCAGCGGTGAGAAGACATCCTGTGAGCTCAGCACCGTGCAGGCACCTCAGTGCGGCTTTGCCAATGTCTCTGATGACTGTTTGGTGTTTTCACTCCAACCGGGGCAATTCCCTGCAGCAGGGTCTTCTGAGGGAGCTGCTGTTGGGAGACGGAGGCACAGAGAGCGTGGCACACAGCGGGAGCTGGTTGGTTTCTTCAGCACAATCTCCATAGCTCTCGTATGGAAACCGTCTCCATAGTATGAGGCGGGTGAGTTTGAAGGAGGCTTTCTCCCCTTGAAGAGATGAACTGAGGGAAGAGTACCACCTCTGTGCCTTCAAGCACACCAGAAAAGTTCCTCTATCTTTCCCTGCTGTTTCTGTTAAATCCTCCGGTGGAGACCCATTATTTGTCTTAGACCAGACCAGCTTCAAAGACAGTGAAATCTTCCCAAGATTGCAATTTATTGCCCAAAGCCCAAGGCAGGAAATGTTCCTGCACTGTGTCGTTGCTGCTTCTGCAGCTTACACGATCTGCAGGACCTGAGTGGGGATTAACCCACACAACCCCGCTCCCAGTTCAGCGCTTGTCTGAGAGAAAAAACTTACTTTTACCTGATGCCAGTTTAACAGCCTGGTGATTATTGTCATAGAATCATAGAATCACAGAATCATTAAGGTTGCAAAAGACACTCTCAGATCATCGAGCCCAACCATCAACCCAACACCACCATGTCTGCTAAACCACCCAAAGTGCCACATCTGATGTTTTTTGAACACCTCCAGGGATGTCATGGCATGGGTAAATGTTAACTGTATGAACCATCACACTACAGGAAAAAGAGAGGTCTAGTATTAGGGGACTTGTTAGCATAAGAAGGTGCAGTGATCCTGAAACACAAAGCCAGACCAATTCATACGGAAACTGAGGGGCAAACTGATGCCTGAAGCAGCTGACTGAGGGAGACAAAGGGCCTGTGGGCGAGGAGCAGATGTCCAGGACGCTTACCCTCGGCAGAAGGGCGTTGGGAAGGGTCAAAGGCCCGGCACTGGTCAATGACTTTCCGCAGGTCTTCAGGACAATCTTCCCCGACAGGCTCTCGGTAACGGTGGTTGCAGATTTTGTCTGTGATCTCCTGGGGAGTGCAGCCTAGACAACATGTGTGCAGACAGGAGCGTCAGGACAGAGCTCTGCTGCCACAGGAGGGTGCTGGGGAGGAAACACAGTGCAAAGCCACGCCAAAGCCTTCCTGCAGCCGATGGCATGGAGAAGCCAGCAGAGAAGCCACACAAACAGTTTCTGCAACCCCCCCCCCCATATTTGGCATGACACCGTTGGGCTCCAGTGGAGCCAGGAAATGTGTTTATGCTTCAATGCACAGGAACATCAAACAAAAAATTGCTCGCATGTTTGTGGTTTAAGCATATTGCTGAAATGCTTTAGTGTAGTGCAGTCCCAGGAGAAGCCACAAAGCTGTCGTGCAGAGCCAGGCACACCAGGCACTGCCACTGGGACCCGCACATGGCGGGATGCTCCAGGAAGGAGCAGGGAGCATCCAGTGCCAGCCAGCAGCCGCACCGGGCTGTGTTGCTTTTACACGGGGGATGAGATACTTCTGTCTCACCTTCAAATGGGATTTTGGAGGTCGCGATCTCCCACAGCACTATCCCGAAGCTGGAAGGAGACAAGCAAGAGTCTCAGCATTGATCATTCCACCTTCTACCCCTTCCTAACGGAGGGGACTGTCGGGCTGTTTCAACCCCAAACGGCTGCTTATGTATCCATTTAAACCTGGCCTTCTTCCATAGCTCAAGAGCTACTCTTCGAGACATCTGCCTGCTTACACGCATCCCTCCCGAGAGGGGCAGACGCACCTGTATATTTCGCAGGGCCTCTTGTAGGGGTAGTTGATGTCTTTCAGGTTCTCAGGGGCGACGTAAGCCAACATAGAGACATGTTTCCAGTTCTTCCTGGCTTTCCTCTTGATGGATGACTCTGTTTCAGTCAGCTCAAATCCTGACAGCTGATTGAGAAAACAAAAGAGAGGGAGAAGTGGTAGAATCGCAGTCTGCAGGAACCTGTGGCACGTTGACGCCTGTCGAGCTGGAGAAAACAGGGCGAGGTGCCCTGGGCAGCAAAGGCTGGCATGCAGCCACATGTGCTGCCCGGCACGTGGCTCCTTCTGCAAGCAAAACCGTAGGTGGAGACAGGTGAATTTCCCTAGCTTCAGCTCATTTCAGGGTGGGTGGCTGAGAAACGCTCACTTTGCTGATGATAAAACAGATAATGATGAAGAGATATGTGAAGTGCCTAAGGTGACAGGAGAGATGACTCCACCCCAGGTGTTATTCTGGACCATCCTAATTCCCTCCGCTGATGGTGGGGGAAGACACCCACAAAACCATCCAAAACTCCCCAAAGCTTCTCCAGGCATGGTCCTTACCTTCACGCAGTAATCCCCGGCCACCAGGAACTTGTTACTGCAGATGGAGCCATGGAGTCGGGACTTCTCCTCCGTCTGGTGCAACCTGCAGCCGGGCAGAAACAAGGGCAACACACGCTGGTGATGCACCCATCCTCACTCTGGGGCTTGACCCATCCTCACTTTGGGGCTCCCTCCTGCTGTGCAGGGGAAGGACTGACATGCACCCAGAGAAGCCAGCAGCTCTCTGCCTGTCGTGGTGGACCAACCCTGCCAAGCCAACCTTTCCAGCAGCTGCTGAAAGAACCACTGCGGGCAAAATAACGAGCCTTGTGGATGAGCAGGACCCATAAGGAGAACTGGCTGTGCTGTAGGCTGCTCCTGAAACTTCCCTGTGGATGCGGGGAAGTGGGTTTCTCCCTTCCAGGTCTTTTCAGGCTTGAAGCCTGATGTAGGGGCCAGTGACCAGGGAAAATGGGTGCTAGTGCATCCAAACCCACTGCCAACCTCTTCACCAGCCTCCTTTCCCGGTGTCCCAAGGTGGTGGAAACTGTGTCTAACAGGATACCACCAGTTACTGAGAGACGCCAGGAAGCTGAGCACGTTTTGTGGATCGTCAGGTGAACCTTCTCACCGACGTAAGCAGGAGCTCACCTGTAAAGGCCTCTGGCGGCTCCCAGGGCCATCCGAATGCGAACCTCCCAGGAGAGATGCCGTTGCTTGGTCAGCACATCCCGCAGCGTCCCGTGCTTACAGTACTCCATGACGATGGAGAAGCAGGGGCTCCCATCTGCAAGGCAAAACCTTGACCATCCCACCTTTTGCCACCTCTTGGGAGGGGACCATGACAACCCGTCTGCCACCTGCTAGCTCTGGGGACAGGCAGGGGAGGGAAAGGGTGATACTAATGTGACACTCCCTACCTTTCTCCTCAATGCAGATCCCGTACATGCGCAGGATGTTTGGAGACTCAAACTTCTTCAGGGTCTGAATCTCCTTCTCGAAGATGTCTCTCACCTTCCTGCAGAAAGGGACAGCACGGTGAGGTCCACAGAGCAAGGCATGACGTGGCGCCGTGCCACACTCCCCTCCCAGCTGCCCTATGTCGCTCCTGCCCAGGGCAACTCACACTGGGTCAGTGGTCAGTGGCCTCTTGAAGGTTTTGATGGCGACAGGGTACTTGAGGTACTCTCCCTCGTAGAGGTCATATCTCTCGGTGTCCTGCAGGTGTCTGTAGAAGGTGAGGTGGTTCCGCTCAATCTCAGTGATGTCTTCTCTTTTACCAACGTTGACCTTCTTCAAGCCTGCTCCCCGGAGGGAACGAGGGACACATTAGGCAGGGCCTGGGGTGAAAGGACCCAGTGCACAGGGTGCCAAGAGGTGGAACACCAACTTACACTCCATCATGTGCACGATTTTGTTCAGCTCGCTTTGCATCCAGTCTACCTTGCTCTCCATACACTGTCTGTCGATGTAGATCTCCCTGGCGACGTCTTCACACTGTCCGGTACCTGGGGAGAGAAACGTGCAGAGGTGGGGCCACTGGATGAACATGCAGGACTGATGTGGTTAGCTTTTGTCATGGTTTCAACATCTCTTCGGCTCTCCTTGGCCGCTGCCATCAAGCCAAAGCCAGGCAGCAGCTGGGGAGAGGTGCTAACCACCAGTCTCAGCTGCTAAATGCACACTTACTTGCAATCACCTGGTCCAAGAAAGCCCTGTCATCCTGCAGGTCCTCAGCGTCCTGCCTACGACAGGTCTTTGCCTGGAAAGCCTGCAGGAAAGCCTGCTTCTGCTCTGCCTGCAGCAGGAGCGAGAGCCCCTGGGCGATGTCCTCCAGGCTCTCATTCACCCAGACGAACTCCTCGCCAACACTGTGGGCTCTCAGGAACTTCTGGATCCAGCTGGTCTGGCTGTATTTCGTCACCAGTTTCTGGGCTTCCCCCAGCACACAGAGCAGCTTCTTCAAGAGTTTCTCTTCGTGGTGGGAGATGTGCTTTGGTGGCTGAGCCCTGAGGACCCTCACGGGCTCCAGCAGGATCTGGATGCGCTCCACGAGGCGCTGGCACTGGTGCTTACAGCACTTCACATGCTCAAGTTGGGAGTGGATGACCTGGGCCACGGAGAGGACCCTCTCCACGATGTCCATGCTTGCAGCAAAGGGCTTGGCTGCTGGGGATGTGGGCTGGCGGCGTCTGGTGGAGCTGAGCCTTGGTCGCCAATCGGAGATCAGCCAGATGCGGCTCTTCCACGCCTTCCACCCTAAGGAACAGCCGTAACATGGCACTCAACCCTCCGGGGCTCCTGGAGCCCCTGATATCTCCTCCGGCTGCTTTTCTTGCTCTGCTTCGTTCTGCTTCGCCTGGCACCGTGGCCGCTCGTGCGGACCCTTGCAAACAGACGTCGCCAGCGTCGGTGTTGGTGCATCTCGCTCCACATTAGCACGAGATGTTTTGGCTTGTTTTATGTAAATGAATTTAATGTTACCTGTGCCCAGAGACCTTACACACGGACAAGCAGGGTCAGTAGTGCTCCAAGGACCACCGCCAGGCAGTGCTCCCCGGCACCGGCCCCGCGCCACCCTGGGGTCCTGCCCGCAGAGCCCACACCTTTGACCGTAAAGGTCCGTTTTCATTTCTAGCCAACACTTCTCTCTGTTGTCACCCACCTAAAAAGAGCTTTCACACCTTCACAGCCCCGG